CATGCTAAACCAGTCTGTGGTGTCAAAGAGGTAGGAGACCACTGTTGTAAGAGACATCACAACCAGCACGATGCCAAAGTGCTGACTAAAGAGAGAATTCATTCTGCACCTTACTTTTACGGTACAGTGCCACATTTTTATCCCAGCCAGGAATGACATATTTCACCATTATCCTTCTATAACTACCAGGGGGTGCAAGGGAATAAACCATAGTGCGCGCACACACACACACACACATCTCCAGCCATAAATTACTATTTGGCATGACAATGTTTCTAGTTATGGTCATGTCAGCTCAGAGGAATAGTGACCTAGGTGCCTTTCAATGTGATCTACCTTTTCTGCAATTCTGTAAGGACCAAATGATGATGTTCTCTGACCTATGATTCCTACTTAAGGTGGTTTTGAAATTTTCATCTCAGCCAACCTATAATATTGCCTGCTTTCTTTCCATTTCCAATTTTGGATTCAGAAATATATATATTGGAGGTTCACGGAACCTTGGTCTTTTACACATTCAGAACTAAACAGTTCCAGAAGTCTTTTATTCTCTGTGAGCTCCCAAGGATCTAGAAAGGGCAAATGTCAAATCTCAATGTTTATCCAATGGATAACCTTAACTTACTAAATAGTTTTAAAAAAATTAAAAATGTCCTGAATTTTGAAAGAGCATTTGACTGGAGCAATTATTGCTTCTATGGCATTCCTTAAAGGTGGTCAGTTGAGAAAGATTTGTAAAGCAGCAACGTGGTCTCTACTTGATTTTCATCAAGCATTCTAGATTGGATATTAGAGCAAAGTTAGATGCTACTTTTGGCAGAGCAGTCATTTCCTCTGTTTTGGTGTGACATCCCACCAGTTAGTAAGTACAGTATACTTGGTACTCACCCTAAGGTGTGAGTCACAGTGATCACAAAGAAGAAGGACAGGTTGCTTACCTGTAACTGTCGTTCTTTTGAGTTGTTATCTCTGAATCCACACAACCCATCTATCCTCCTTCAGTCTGCCACACAAGTGCATGTTTTATCAATGGCCAACTGGGGGGAATGGAGAACTAGCAGGGTGGGGGACATGTGCAGTGTAAAGAGTGTGGACTTCGAGTCACAGTGATCACAAAGAAGAAGGACAGGTTGCTTACCTGTAACTGTCGTTCTTTTGAGTTGTTATCTCTGAATCCACACAACCCATCTATCCTCCTTCAGTCTGCCACACAAGTGCATGTTTTATCAATGGCCAACTGGGGGGAATGGAGAACTAGCAGGGTGGGGGACATGTGCAGTGTAAAGAGTGTGGACTTCAGTCTCTAGTGCTTACCTGTAACTGTCGTTCTTTTGAGTGGTTATCTCTGAATTCACACAACCCACCTATCCTCCTTGAGTCTCTAGAATGTTCTGAAGACTGTTCTGCACAGGTGCAGAGAAACTCAAATGTGTGAATTCATAGATGATCACCTGAATAACTACAGTTACAGGTGAGCAACCTGTCCTTACGATAGTGGATGCCATAGGAAGTGGCATAGAAGAGTAAAGTTTGAGGTGACAATTTTTTCACCTGAATAACTACAGTTACAGGTGAGCAACCTGTCCTTACGATAGTGGATGCCATAGGAAGTGGCATAGAAGAGTAAAGTTTGAGTAAAGTCACCATTTTTTCAAAAAAGCAAGAACAAATGGAATCCAACAGCTTTATAATCCTTAAATAAGGAATTCGCAATTAAAATATTCCCAGTTAATTAAATAATACATGCTTCCCCCGCCATCTGGTAGATGCCTTTGGCAAATTTATCCCCTCTGGTGGAGGTGCTGGTTGTTATTTGGATGGAACCTATGTTTTCAGTTCCCCTAAAATACTTAGTTGCTTTCATCAATAGTGCCAAGTACAGTATGTTAACTGTGTTCAAATGATTTTAACAAAAAGGGGTCACAAGTAGATTCATGGTTTCAACCTTGGCACTGAGGGAAATGACTTGCAATGAATGCACTCTAGCCTATAATGTGTGGCTAGTTGGTGGAACCCAATCTAATCACTTATTCACAGGAATGGCTATTTTTAATTTTATATGCCACTTATGAGATATATACAGTTGGGTTTATCTCATAATATTTAACCTCCTCTGTTGAAGATAGTAGTGAAAGAAGAAAAGGAGTGAATATCTGAGAGTCGCGAATGGTGGGTAACAGTTTGGGAAAGGTGGATGAATGTGAATATTGGGGAATATTAATGTATATACTTTAAGGAGGAAAGCAAATTATCTAGTTAAAAGTCCTGTGCCTGCTCCCTCCCCTTGAAAAAGTTCTGAAAAGAAAGATGACCTGTGACACTTTATTTTCTTTTTTTTTAATTTCAGACTTTATATGAGCAGTGCAACAACGGCAAAGGTTTAGACATGTCTGCTTTTGCAAACTCTGATGATCAAAAATCCCGGAGTACAAAGTGATATGTAGAATTTAGTTTTTACAAATATCAGCAAAAATAAAGGATACTATTCTAGACAAAGGCTGTTGTTCCTATTTAAACAAATCTGTCTGGCTTCTCAAAAGTCTGTGGGATCAGCTAAAGGTTTTTCGCCATTTGTTCATCCAATATTTGTGTATCAGTCTTAATGGAACGGATAGTCCTGCTATATAATTGTAATGGACTGGGTCAATACTACTGTATTTTGATAGAAAATACATGTTCGGGACTTCTTAAAAGATTACATTTGGCTGTGGTTCCTAAAATACAGCAAAAGATGTTGACTTTGTTGTAAGCCAGTGTTGAACAAAACACAATCCCTCAGATGTTTTGGCTTTCAGCTTCCATCAGCAGTAGGCAGTGGTCAGCTGGCCCACAATATCTGGGTGGCCACTTTGTTCATCACTGTTCTACTACCTATCCATATTTATCCTGAAGAGTAAATTCATCATTTCTTTCCCATCAGATGTAGTTAAAATAATAATTTTCAGATATCTCTGGTGTGAAAACTATATATGATAGTTTTACAGTTCAGCTCTTTTTTACTTCATCTTATTTTATTTTGTACATACTACCATGTAGTTTCAGTTTATAATGTTTCAGTTTATAAATGACACTGGATATCTTGGTGAACATGCAAAAAAAAAGAACCTTGTAAATACAAATAAAAATGATTTATATTGTGTTAATCCTCTCCAAGTGTGTTTGTTAATAAATAGAAAATATTAATAATAATTGAAATAAACCTGTCCAATCTATCCTACTCATCTCTTATACTTTTTCAAATTCTGTAAACAGGTTCTTCATTACTGTCAGGTTTTTAGAGGAAGTTTTCTTTTAACAACTTATACTGGGCAGGGAGAAAACTCTATGGTATATTATGTTTTCATTGCAGCTAGCTTTTTTTCTCTCCCCCCCCCCATTCTTGGAGACCCTGGCCACTGTCCTATGCTTTGTTGTTATCTTCGGTCCCAGCTTCTGTTTCTGTACCTGCTGTAGCCTGTGTTGTTGGTGGTAACGAAAAAGCAGAGCTTTTGTGTCACCAACAATGTTCTCCACTTGTCTCAGATAACTTTATTCCTTGACGTCTATGTATTCATTTTTAAATACTCAGAGAACACAGAACAGAGAGTTTGAGGTGGTGTGATGGTTCCTGAGATCATTGGAAGGGAGGCTGTTACCTTTTTCTCTTGAAAGAAAGAGTACTGTCCCGTTCATCTATGCAATTGTTATGTGGGAAAGATTAGTGCCCAAATAAAACACCGCACTTCCCCCTTGGCATTCTGTGCCGAATGGAAGGAGATGTAAGGATTGGGTTAGATCTGATGCCCGAAGAAGCTGCAATTACATGACCAAGAGTTTAGAACTGCAAGTAGTGAGTGATCTCTCAGTGATTACAATTTTTCTCAGCATTGGTCAGATCAGGGTTTCCTGCTGAATTCATCTAATGCAGGGGTCTCAAACTCAATTTACCTGGGGGCCGCTGGAGGCAGAGTCTGGGTGAGGCTGAGCCACATCAGATTTTCTACCAAGCGGAGCAAGAGCCCGAGGAAGCCGCCTAGGAGTTTCCTTAGCCCGGCTGGGGCTCCGAGGAGGAAGAGGGGTGCCCGGCATGACCCTCTCTGGCTCCTTCTTCACTATCACCACCACCACCAGCAGGATGAAGAAGCGGAGAAGGGAGGGAACTCCAGTGACCGTCTAGCGGGGGGGAGGGCACAACAGAATCACCTTGTCAAAGGAGAAAAGCCCCCATCAGTACCCACAAAATTAAACAGAATGGGGTGGGCCCCCACAGGTGTGTGCAGATGCGCGCACACACAGAGCCCCCACTGGTACCCACAAAATTAAACAGAATGGGGTGGGGCCCCACAGGTGCGCGCAGATGCGTGCACATATGGGGGTACGGCAACTTTCCTCTGAGGGGCTCGCCTCGCAAAGTTTGCTCCTCTGTCGTGGTGGAGGTAGCTGCTGCTGCTGAGTGCACCTTTTTTTGAGGGGTCCCTCAGAGGAAGATTGCTGGACCTGTGTGTGGGTGCGCACTTGTAGGGGGCCCACCCCGTTCTGTTTAATTTCGCGGCTACTGATGGGGGCTTTTCTCCTTTGGCAAGACAATTCTGTGAGGGTTTTTTAAAAAAAAAAATTATGACGTGCCCACCCACCCCCCGCTAGGCGGTCGCCGGAGCTCCCTTCTCCGCTTCGTCCTGCTGCTAGTGGTGGTGGTTGTGAACAAGGAGATGGAGGGGGTTGAGGCTGGCGACGAGGGCTTGTGGAGCCCTCCTCCTCCGAGCCCCACAGGCTAAGGTAACTCCTGGGCGGCTTCCTCGGGCTCTTGCTCCGTTTGGTGGAAAATCTGATGCAGTCCAGCCTCAGCCAGACCTCCAGCGGCCCCCAGGTAAATTGAGTTTGAGACCCCTGGTTTAAAGAAAGGGTAGATCTAAAGGTAATTTTTCACTTCCAGTAATACCATCAACAAAGGAAGACAGTGGCTGGAAATTCAACTTTTGGTATAGTTAACAATTTTCAAGGCATTCAGTGCTTTTGAAAAGGAGTTGATGGTTTGAGTAGCTATTAACAACAACAGCAATGTATCATATAAACAAATAAGGCAGCATTCATTCTCTTCTGCTTCTCACCACCCACTTCTGGGAATGGGGTATATGTTACGCCACTGAATAGCAATTGATGTCTCAGGAGAGGACAACCAGTAAGCCGATTCTCTGTGTCATCTCATAAAGCAGCTGCACAAGTGGGAGTTATGTATCCCAGGCAGTATTTCAAGAAATAGTGCAACGTTCAGCGAAACTGCTCATAGACATTTTTTGCCACCAGCCACAGTTGCACAAGGCAGATATTTTGTTCCTGGACAGGTTGAGGCAGACACATTCTCTTTACAGTGGACAAACGGCCTGCTGTACGTGTTTCCCTCTTTTAGATTCACGTTAATTCAAATGAGCCTGTTCTCATTGTGACTTACATAGCACGTTGCACTAGGCCCCTTTGAATCAATGGAGGAAAACAGTTGATTCACCGAACCACCACTCATTTCAGGGTCTACTGTGGTGTACTTTACTACACTAAACAACAGGATTTCAACCACTGATTCCTACAGTTAGCAATAAGAGTCATTTAAAAAAGAAAAGACCCTGTGTTGGTGTCTAACTAGAAAGTCCCTCCTTTCCCTTCCATGTAGTTTTAAAGCCTATTGTTGGAAGGACCTTTCATTAGGACCAGAGCAAATGAAACCTTTAACAACTTTTGGTTAAATTCTGTTAGACTGGCTTGAGATCTTAATGAAGGGCCCAGAAAGAACCCCCCAAAAGGTATAGCCACATTTGTGCACATTTCAGATTTTTTCCCTAGGATCTCTGTTCTGTTTTGCTCTATTTCCTTCTTTTCTGTCCAATTATAGAGCAGAAAATGAATAACCATTGAAAATGCCATGTGCTGCAACTGGAAGGAATGTGGAGCTCTTGTTTTTTATATACAGTGGTGCCTCGCACAACGTTGTTCCCATAGGGAAAAATTCGCTTTGCGAAGACCGGTAAGCGTTTCGCTTACCGAAGCCACATTTGTGCACATTTCAGATTTTTTCCTGAGGATCCCTGTTCTGTTTTGCTTTAATTCCTTCTTTTCTGTCCAATTATAGAGCAGAAAATGCATAAACCATTGAAAATGCCATCTGCTGCAACTGGAAGGAATGTGGAGCTCTTGTTTTTTATATATTTATATTTTGAAAATACTACATAATAACTCTTGGCATGTTAAAGACAAGTAAGTCACATTGGACATAAGCTTCCATGGGCTATATCAGATTGCAGTTGCTGAAGTGGGCTACAGTCTGCGATAGTTTAAGCTAAACAATACTGTTAAGATGATGCAAAATTCTTGGTTGATTTTGTTACAACTGGCCAATACTGCGGCTACCCCAGAAGCTTTTGAAATTGTGAATTGTGGCCTGAGTGTAATTAAGTCTGAAAGTCCTCCAGGTAGCAGAGTTCCCTGCTTTTGTGCAAAGATTCAAACTTTTTTTAAAAATCAAAAACTTGTGGGACACGTTTGCACTGTTCAACAGGAATGCTTGAGCAGTTAAATACTATTAAAGTTTTGAGAAAAAGCTGTGGGCTGTCTCCAAGTGATTTCATGGATGGACTGTTAGATACGAAGCACAGGTGGCTTGAACCTTCAAGCCATGAAGTTCTTTGCATGCCCTTGTCTGAGTCACTGTCCTGGGAACCAGGGAACAGGGAAGAGCTTTTGTTCTGAGAGGAGTTAGTGATAAGGATTTTAATCTGCCTCTTTATGCAGCTTTTTGATGCAATCACTAAGGGGTTGCTGCCAGATATTGGTTTCTCCCACATGCTGTGGTACTTTTATAGGCCATATGTTGACATGCAAGAAGGTCACCTCTCCACAAGTAGTTGTCAGTTTTGCAGGCTCCAATGCTGATTGTTACTAATGGGAGCTTGAGATGGGCCTGAATTAATTTGGACCCCTTTGTACAAAGTAAAGCACATGTCACCATAAGTGCTGTGCCATACCCTCTCCCCACCCACCCCCCTGGACTGGCTGTCCCACTCACATTTCATCACACACTGCTGGGGTCCTCCTCTGGTGATGCTCCAATCTGGGCAGTAGCTCAGGCTGCCCATCCTTGCCTTCTCTGGCAGCCGACCACTTATCAGCTGCATGGGGAGAATCCCCGTCCTGCCTCCTCACTGGAGTGGTCAGCTGCTGGAGGAGGCAAGGATGGGTAGCCTGAGCTCCTGCTGTCCCACTCACATTTCATCACACACTGCTGGGGTCCTCCTCTGGTGATGCTCCAATCTGGGCAGTAGCTCAGGCTGCCCATCCTTGCCTTCTCTGGCAGCCGACCACTTATCAGCTGCATGGGGAGAATCCCCGTCCTGCCTCCTCACTGGAGTGGTCAGCTGCCGGAGGAGGCAAGGATGGGTAGCCCGAGCTCCTGCCCGGATTGGAGTACCGCCAGAGAAGAAGGACCCCATCAACATGCAATGAAATATGAGTGGGACAGCCAGCCTGGGGGGGGGGGTGAGGAGTGGGCATGGGCAGCACCTGTAGCCTGAATTAATTCAGGCATCTCTAATGGGGACACATTGGCTGGATCAAACAGGGTTGAAGAGCAATTATTGCACAAACTAATTACAGTGGCTCTAAACCAGGGTTCCCAACCCCCCCTTTTTTTGGCCACTCACATCTGGAATGTTGATAGTGTTTTTGGACACAATCTGAGCTTGGTTCTTAATAAAACGATTTCATTGTTTACTAGGAGTTACTTTATAAAAATTATTCATGCATCGTCTATCTTGCTTTTTGATTACATTTTTTTGTTATTATTTTAAAGAATGCACTTAAAATATGAAAATATTCCTTAATAATCCTCACAGCAGTGTTATAGGAATGAGAAGTAAAACATTGTTCATCACCCCTAAAACAGCACAACCTTACTAGTTCTTATATTGTTTCACATTCTTGCCACCTTGCTTACCCCCAAAGATATACAATGGCATTGCTTCCAAGCTCTACGCAAAATGACTAAAAGTCAGGCTGTGTCCAGTCAGAAAATGGTCACCACAACTGTGTGACCAATCATAATTTCACTATTGTGGCAGAACACCCAGATGGCAACCCAAGGGTGCC